AATGGAGGATGACCTCCCACTTCTGCTCCGATAAGGGGGTTCTTCCCCCTGGTAAACTGGCCCGTTGTCTATTGAAGACTCAGCGAGGATCGAGACTGCGTCCCCGCCAAGACGCTCCGCAGTAACCATTGCCACCTTGGAGCCCGCGGTGCACTTCAGGGCTAGCCCATCACTCAATGACGTGAAAGGCCTGGGACAATAACCTCGCCAACACGCCGGTTCTTGGTACCGAGACCCGAGAAGTCGTTTGCATTAATCGACATAGTGTGATCCATCCGGGTGTCGGATTATTACGAGCCCGACCCACTCGGGTTTGAATTCGGGGTTTTCCTCCTCCTAGACCGGCTGTCTATACAAAACTAACGAGCCCACTCTACCCGCGCTGTAGAGACCTTCGGGTCGTACAAGTACGACCCTCCAGTCCCTGGTTATCTCCTGGACGCAGCCCGTCCACGAGCGGACGCTTTTAGTAAGGTTGTGACTGGACTCTAATCATTGCAGTCGGCGCCAGCTGCAAGGTCCCTCTGTATAGACCACTCCGGCATGGTAGAACCTGCCAGGGGCCGAAACCCCCGCCGGTACAGCTCTGTACATCACTGGGACCCGCAAGCTCCCCCATCACGACAAGGTGGCGTCCACGGGGGAGGGCAGGACCTTACCCTCGTCGTGGGAGTTTCCGTCTCTAAGGGCATTGCATGCCGGTGCTCCAGCAGCCTGAAGGTACGGCCACACTCGGGTCTGCACACCGTGAGGGTTTGGTGGTCCTCCCATCACGGTACCCGTAGTGGTGTGGGGGGAGGCTCCGGGCCGCTCGGACGTATTCGGAGGTCGGGGCTGGGGCTCCCCGAGGTGAGCCTGGGGGATGGGGATCGCATTATCCCTAAATTCATCCCCTGGGCGGCGAGGTTTTGTTGACTGCAGCGGTCCCGGTGGGTTGCGACACCGATGACCTAACTCCTTCCATGGGGGCCTCCGCGTGGCGGCGCTGCTGGTGCCCCAGAGGTCGGAGGCTGAGGGCTCCTGAAACCGGTCCACCTCCCAGCAATGGGGGGTTGGGCGTGAGTACGGGGCTGGATCCCCGTGCCCAGGATGCCTCTCCCTGGGCCTGCGGAATAGACCGACTCCCCAGGGGATCTTCGGGATACCGGTAGGTCATGTTTCTGCCGGTGCGGACATGCCCGCTCGGTCGAGCCGTCAGCAGTGGAGGGTTTAACCCAATGGCTGACAACATTAAATTTACAGGGAAGAAGAGGAGGAGGGATAGGAAGGAAGATGAAGATTCGTCGGAAGCGTCTGGAGTCTCGCAGGAGACCACAGCGAGCACTGTGATCATGTCACAGGAGCATCCTGACGAGGATAATACAATTATGGAGGGTGCACCATATTCCGTTTTTCGTATGGAGGAGTAGGATAGGTGTTTGGAAGGCATGATAAATGACCTCGAAGAGGAGTACCATTAGAAGGAAGAAATGGGGTCGTTCCGCGTGTACATCAAACTGCTGTGGAATAGTGCTAGGGCACTTCACGGGGAAAGGGCTGACTTGAGGAGGAAATTAGGGCTCAGTAATGAGCGTAGGGAAATGATAATTGAAAGGATGGAGACGAAGGCCCCAGAAGAAAAGGCCCTTCGAAAAAAGATCGAGAAAGGAGAAGATAACTTGAAAGTTCTAAAGGAGGAGCATAGGCTTCTCCGGAGTCAGCTGGAGCCATGTCGGAAGGAATTGGTAAAGGCCAAAGAGACACCAAATAAGAGGGATATGTGGACACAATTCTTGTGGAGGCCACTAATGAGGGATGTGGCTATAATGTCATTAGGGGCATGCAGATGGCATGCAAGGAAAGATGTCTCAGTAGAAACTGAGGAGAAGAGTAAAGAAGAGGAGAAGGTTGGTGAACTGAGGTCGCTTAAAGTGGCCTTAGTTCAAGCTGATGAAGAATAGGGAAGATCGGATTGGAGGATCTGGGAGGTGGAGGAGGCAGCAAGAGTAGCTGCATTCACCCAAATAGATGCCCCCAGAGGCCAGGGGTATCCATTAGGACACCACCTGGGTCACAAAAAAAGGATACATCACACTGCCCCCCCGTCACCCCGCGCCACCTTGTCGTGGTGGGGGGTGCTTGAAGGTCTCAATGATGTACAGAGTTGTGCTGACGGGGGCTTCTGCCCCTGGCAGGTTCTACCATGCCGGAGTGGTCTGTACTGAGCGACTGGACTAAGAGTGCCCAGGGAAGTTATGACGGCCTGACCAGTAATGGTCAGGCTCGACCACGTTTTTGGCCGGTGCCACGCCGGTGCTCCGACAGTCGGAGGGGCAGGACCTTATCCTCGTGTGCGGGAGTTTTCCGTCCCTGAGGGCATTGCACGCCGATGCTCCGGCAGCCTGAAGGGACAGGCCATGCTCGGATCTGCACACTGTGGAGGTTTGGGACCCTCGACGATACACGGGGTGGTGGGGGCCCAGGGCCGCTTGGACGTATTCCGTGGTCGGGACCGGAGCCCCCCGGGGTGAGCACGGGGGATAGGGATAACATCATCCCTAAACCCATCCCCTGGGCGATGTGATCAGGCTGGCTGCCGTGAGGGAGCGGTTCCGGTGGGTTGCGATACCGGTGACCTAACTCCTTCCACGGGGGCCTCCGCGTGGCGGCGCTGCTGACGGTACCCCGGAGGTCGGAGGCCGGGGCCCCTGAAACCGGTCCATCTCCCAGTAATGGGGGGTGGGGCGGGAGTAGGGGGCTGGATTCCCGTGTCGAGGATGCCTCTCCCTCGACCTGTGGAATAGACCGAGTCCCCGGGGGAACTCGGGGACACCGGTAGGTCATATCTCTGCTGGTGTGGGCATGCCCGGTAGGTCGAGCCGTTAGCAGTGGAGGGTTGAAAAACTCAATGGCTGGCAATGGAAATTCTCAAGGAACTAAGAAGAAGAGGAGTAAGGCGAAGGAGGAGGATATAGGATTGCTGTCGGAGGCTTCTGGGGTCTCTACGGAGACGAAGGGAACCTCATGGACAGCAGGGGAGGAGGAAATCTCAGAAGGAAGAAGGTACTCCAGGGAATCTGTTAAAAAATGGGAGATGGAAAGCTTGCAAAAGCTGAAAGACCTCCTTAAGCTGGTCACGGGAACTGGAGAATGGAATGAAGAGGAGAAGATAGTCGTCAATAATACCCTTGACGACATACAGGATTATGTATGGGAATTGGCTAAGGATGCGAGAGGATGGTATAGGAGTTGTATGCAAAAGCAGAAGGAACTCAAGTTCAGTGAAGACATCAGGAAGGGTATGGCCGAGGAACTGAACTTAAGACGTAGAGAATTCGAGAACACTAAAAAGCGAAGGGCAGGAGGCTCTTGAGTCGGCTCTGAGAGAGGAGCTTCGGCTCCTCTAGGGCCAACTGGCTAGCAGCAGGAAGGAGCTGAGGTCGTGTCGACGGAAACCAGCACAGAGGACTGTGGGAGTGGGTGTGAGGGCAGTTAAGGAGCACTCCCACACCCAAACGGAGAGGGGTGAAGATCCAGGTAGGAAGTCGGTCTATGCCCAGACCGACGAGGAATGGGGTATGTCTGAGTGGGAGGTCTGGGAGCTGGGTCGGGCAGCGATTGTAGCTGCTTCCACGCAGACGGAAGGGCCCTCATCTCAGACAATGGGAAGGGTAAATGCGGTCCCGTTCGCCTCTCGAGAGGGAAGAGTTTGGACGACCGTGGACCACAGAAAAAGGAAGAGGAAAGTAAAAGATGATGAAGTTGGAGAGGTACCAGTAGCTATTGCAGCTAGACGTCCTCCACAACTTCGGGATGGGAAGCGAAGGGGGAAGTGGGGGGGAGTCTCAGCCTTCCCCCAGACCATCCCACCCCGCTATAAGCGGAATGGGTATGGAAAGGAGAGGGAGGGGCAGGGGTGGAGCGTTGCCCACAAAATCGCCCTTCTCCACACAAGTACGAAGATGGCCGCGGCTACCGGAGACAGCTGCGGTCACTGTGCGACTGCAGCAGGGAGCTTCCTACACGGAGGCTCTCAAGCGGGCAGAGGAGGTTCCCCTTGGGTACTTTGATATCCCGGCGAGGACGTTGGCCGGAGCGCGGATGGTGCTAATTGTCCGAGCCCGGGATCTTGGCCCCGAGGGGATAAAAGCCGATAGGCTTGCTGACAGGCTTCGGGTGATCCTGCCTGAAGCGACAATAGTTCGCCCAATGCAGAATGGCGAGGTTCGTCTCGTTAGCTTTAACGAGGCCTTCCCCGAGGATCTGCGAGCGGCTCTGGTACGAAGCACGGGTTGCGCTACCGGGGCCGTTCAGCTCGGCCCCCTCCGTTGGGGAGCAAGGGGACGAGGAGTCGGACGGGCTCGCCTCCCCTTGGCGGCTGCGGTGAAGACGGCCAGAGAAGGGAGTTTTGCACTGGGCTGGTCGATCGTCGGCGTTACTTTGTTGGCGGCCAGACCGGCCTAGTGCTTTAGATGCTGGGGCCCTGGCCACACCAGGTCGAATTGCACGTAGATCACTGCCGTAGATCGCGGCTGCCTGTGCTTCCGGTGTGGCCGAGGCGGGCACACCGTGTGGTCGTGCGTTAATGCACCTGACTGTGCGGTGTGTCGTGAGGCTGGGCTTGAGGCCGGCCACCGTATGGCTCGGCCGGCGTAATGGCTGACCTTGCGGCGTAAGGGGGGCGGCGGACGCTCTGTGCGTCGTCGCAGTCGCCCCCCCAACGAGGGACCCGTTGGGCCCAAAATAAAATATCTGGGCCTGACGCTGGATAGCCGATGGGATTTCAGGGCCCACTTCAGGGACCTGGCTCCCCGGTTTCGAAAAGCAGGTCTGGCCCTGGCTGGACTCATGCGAATCCAGGGGGCTGGCCTGTACGTTGGAGTGGTTCTCTCGATCGCCCCCTACGGGGCGCCCATATGGGCGCCCCAGCTGATGGCCTCCGCCCAAGCCAAAGCCTCATGCGCCACGCGCTAAGGGCGGTGATCGTGAGGGCGATTCGGGGGTTCTCCTCTGTGTCGTACATGGCGGCGACGACCCTGGCCGACTGCCCCCCCGTGGAGCTCTTAGCGGATGAGCGCAGTGTCATCTATTGGAGGATATGGGAGCTCCGCGAGAGGGGGGATGAGATATTGGCCAGGGGCATGGCGGCTCTGAAATCTCAGGCGGTCGCCCGGACTCTCGAGCGGTGGGTGGACGCGATATCCAACCCGCGGGAGTTTGGGCGACTGACGACGGAGACTGTCCGCCCCTGCCTGGAAGAGATGGCAGGCAGAAGGGGGCGCGGTCTCACATATCATCTGATGCAGGTGATCACGGGACATGGTAGTTTCGGGCATTATCTGCACCGGAAAAAGAAGGAGCTCACCACAGAGTGCCACCACTGCCCGGAGCGGGGCGAAACCGTGCAACACACACTGGCTGCATTTGAGGCGTGGAGCCAGGAGCGCGGGCGGTGGGATGCAGGGAGTAAGACCTCTCACCCCTGCGCATGGTGCGAGCCATGTGCGGGAGCGAGGAGGTATGGGGAGCGGCGGCCTCTTTCTGCCGCAATGTAATGTCGCGGAAAGAGGCCGCCGAATGGGAGCGCCGCCCCGGAAATCGTTACAGAGGGCGGCGGCGGAGGCGGCGTTCCCACGGTATGGGCAGCGGGCCCGAGAGGGTGCCGGCCAAGAAGAAAGATAGGCTACCGGCTCGACGGAGGCCGCCTCGGGCCTGTCTTTGGACGCGCGGGGGGAGAGAGGTGACGGATGCGTGATACCCACCTGCCTTCCCCCTAGGCGTCGGTAAGGGCAGGTGAAGGGGGAGCGGAAACCCAGTTGGGGCTGGGTTCCACTCCCTCGCTCCTCTCCTTTGAGGAGCAAAGGGGCGTAGAGGGAGGGTGGATGTCCCCTCCCTCCAAGTGGAAACCAGAAGGCCAACCCGGTTGGGAAACCGGCCGAGGGACCGCGCACTGGACTCCCTTTGCAGGACAGGGAGAAGTATTCATGGCGTGGGGCTCCCGGTGAGCCTTGGGGTCGGGGTGTCGGGGAGGGAATACGGGAGTAGTTTCCCTGACTCCCCCCACCATAGTTCGAATGGTAGACATCCCGCAGGGGATTTAGTCAGTAAAAGTCTGACATAACCCCCGCCTCCCCCAAGGGTCGTGGGTATCCATGGTGGATTTCCCCTGCGTTAACAAAAAAGGTCATCACACCTCTTCTGCGGCGGTCGCCACCTTGTCGTGGTGCAGAAGCTTGATGGCCACAATGATCTTAGATGATGGACTCGGCCTGGAATCTTAGGACTCCAAGTCAAGAGTGAACTTAGGAGAGTGGTTACTAAGAGCGATCGGCCCATCCCTTTTATAGGAAGGGGATGGGTTATTCGGGCTCGTTAGTCTGTAGTAAGCCGAATGAGGAGATGGAAAACCCATTGGAAAAACCCGGGCATCGGGCTCGTTAGTCTGGGAGATTGCTAGACAATCCGACGAGGGGAAGGACACCCACTGGAAAAACCTGGGCGAGTGAGCTCGTTAGCCTTACGGCAACCTATTCCGGAGAGTAAATTCCAATAACAAACCCGGGTGCTCTCGGGGGACGGTGCGGGCTCCTCAGGGGTGTGGGATGACTTGGGCATTCAGTACGAATGTGTGTATGGGGGGAGGGGGTTCCGGAATAGGGGCTGGCGGTGGCGCTGCATCCTCAATGGGTTGGGGCTGTGACGCTGGCGGCTGGGGTCGTCAGCACTGCAGTGCCAGAGAGAATGCTAGTGTCAGATGAGTCAGTCCGCTCTCCGAAGGAGGGTTTTTTCTGGGCGCAGGTTGGACATTGACCTGAGGAAACTAGGGGATGCACTCATCGGTGTCCCAGTATCATCCTCACGAGGGACCGGCCGATTGGGGAGGGGTGTCTGGGTTGTGGAGGCATGCTACCGTTGGGAGTCGATGCCTCAGCGGCCCTCCCGGAGGCCGGCCGACCGGCTGTCTAGCCCGGACGCATGGACGGCTGGCCCGAAGGGGGGCGGCGTGATTGTGGTGGTAGTGACGAAGCCTCCCGGATGCACCACCGCGGGACTGGAAGACTCCCGCAGATGGAGGGCTTAGCCTGACCCTGCGCCTGGACCGGTCCCGCAGGGGGTGTATACGGACACATGATACCGCACCTGAAAGCAGTCTTGCTGGTACACGCCTGAAGACGTGTCTTTGATGCCGCATAGGTTGCGTGCGGGATGGACGCGGTCCACCCCCCAGGCAATCTTCAACGCAACACCCGGTATTCAAGAAGCCTGGAGCACACACCCGGAGGTTGACCATTAGACCGGAGTGAATTTTCAAAAAGTTTTCCAATCGCATTTTAATACTGTGGAAAAGTTGCTACTAGTCGAGAGGATCCCGAGGAAAAAAAAATTTGAAATCGGTGAATATCTTCAGGTCGCACACCATGCTCAAAGTTTCAAGATTTTACTCTCTCTTAGGTAATTTTACGGAATTTTTTATCTTATCCAAAAATGGTCCTAATCGGATAAACTCTGGTACTTAGTATAGTTTTGATGTCAACTATTGGTAAAAAACATCGTAGTCACCTCACCTACCCCGCAGGGAGAGGGGGAAGGGAAATTAGCTCAAATTGCGGAAAATGCTTATGGATAGGCAACACGCTATACGATGTCGTTACACGACTGTTATATTGTCAATATTGGAGAAACATGAAGAAGAAGGTCAGCAATAGGTGCTTGAAGACTTTGGACAACCATCGAAAGAATAAATTATATAATAAAATAAATCGTATAGTAAAATAGAAGATCATTTTAAACGTTTTATGTAGCTCTCTGCTCTTCTTCGATTTTTCGACCACCAGAATAGCTGCGAAGAAGACCCAGGACTCACCACGTGGAAGTGGTTACATTCGAGTCCCACCCACTCCCTACCCAACCAACCAACCAAATATAGAGAGCAAAAACCATTCTCCATAGTATTATTCAACATGTCAATAGCTGACCCATTAGAAGTAAGATGTTAAGACAGTGAAAATTGAGACTTGCTCTCAAATTAAGGCATTAATGCCCTTGAGGCAAGTGTGGCTCTGATATAGCCATCCCTACGAGCAACCTCGTAAACCTTACTGGCAGCTTCTGTTATAAGCTTTACACATCGCTCTACGGACTGCGTATGGAATGGGACTTCGTCGATAGGGAAGTCAAATTTTGGCTATTCTTTGAATAATACGAGCCTTTCAACTTCCTTTTCGGATATTGTTCTCAGAAGAGGGGGGCAAGTAATTTTTATGGAAGACCAGTCTATGATGTCAGAATATTCTGTGGCTTCAAAGTTAAGTATAGGTACAGTGAAATATCTAATTTGTTTGTGTTTATTTTCTTTTTGTTTTGCTTCTAGGATCCTTTTTAATGCTACTTCTCTGATGTCCTCTCTGTCATCCATAGCCATTGACAAGAGAAGGTTCTCGGGATGTGCATAGAATGCATTATGTTGAATCAACAATCTTCTTCAAATTCGGAAGCAAGTACCTCGAATTTCTGATGTACTGAAAGACGTGCTTCGGACCATCAAGAATTGATGACTGCATTTTGATTTGGAACCACAGGGGAACATACACCTTAAGAATGAATATTACGATGTGTTTAAGATTGGCTGACTGTTTTTTTGTAGTAATGTACAGTCTTAATATTCTATTTGCAGTTGTCAACCACCTACAGTGGCTTAATGGTCCTGAATCACGGCAAGCAAGATCAAAGAAGCAATCACCAGCATTTATAGCCTGAGCTATTTCATATAAATAGTTTTGATCTTTGCTAAGAATATTAGAATCTACCTCTGGAAGTAAACATTCAATACGGTATAATTTTGTAACTGGAAGGCTCTCACAACCCGAAAGTATCTTACCAATCGGACCGAAATAAGACTGAGGTCCCGTGGTTTTGCCATCAAATTTTGCAATCAAGTGGCGCAATGGTAACTCATTAAAATGGAGCAAACAAATGATGTGTTGCAAAGGCTTATTGAGTAAAATTTCAATGTATCTAATAGCTCCATTGTTCCACCCAGTGTTCGTTGCAGATTCATCAGCACCAATTACTTCAACATCTGACAAATCGACACCATTCTCACGCAGGTTGGAAACTATACTCATTGCTGAGTCCTTACCAGTTTTGGAGGATGGAACTACGTGAATAAGGTCCTTGTACTCCGGTTCCTCAATAATATAGATGTGTTCCTCTATAATATGTGACTGGTATCTTTTGTTCCCTTTTGTAATGAGCACAAAAGTTTTATCAGCTCTGCTATCAAAATATATAGCCTTAGGTCCTTTGATGGCCCTTGCGTTGAGCTGTACCTCTTTGAGATGTTCTTGGCACTTCTCTCTCTCGCGCCTTATTTTATGTCTGTCAATAACAAGAGACTTGTTGGATTGAGAGATGTTACGTCCTAGAGGAGGAGCGCAATCTTTTCGTTTGCAGGAAAGGCGAACCTCGTTCGTACACGCGTGTCAGGGAACGGGTCAAGAACCCGACGGGTCGCTTTACTCGGTCATTGACGTACGATGAGCGGTCCGTTTTTCGGTGAACGACGCGAGTTCTTTTACTGGGGATAGGACCATGAGTCAACTGTTGGAAGGGGTGATTTTGAAATCAATTGGATGAAAATTAGACTATTAACAGATTTATTAAAATAAATATGATAACAAAATAATATTATATCGTGGTTTTGAATATTACAATTTACGTATGGCTGTGTATATGTATGTGTGAGTGTGTGAAGCGGAAGAAGAAAGAATTAAAAAGGGAAGGAATATGAGTAGAAAGTTAGTCGTGCGAGGGGGAGCGAGAGCGGTCAGGTGAATTTAAGGGAGCAGATAATTCGGAGAAAGAGACAGGAGAATACGATATCGTAGGGGTAGAAGGAGTGGAAGTACGTATAAGAGAAGAGTAAGGAGTACCGGGGGCAAAATGAGAGAGAAGGTAAGGGGATAGGAGTGTAAGGTCTGGGTAATAATCTATTCCCAGCACTATGTTGACTATGGCTCGGAGATAATAAACCTGAAACGTTAGGTGGTCGGTATCGTTGGTGTGAAAAACCGATTCGAACGTTTGGAAAACGTCGTCGAGGGTTATCCCGATATTGTGACAATGACCCACTAAAACCGGATTTCAATAATAAGAGGGATTAATAAAATGGTGGTAGGAAAGGTAGAAGTAAAGAAAATGAAACTTACTGCTGATTCCTGATGAGTTGACACAAGCAAAAGTGAGAATGGCGCAGATCTGCGTGTTCTCGTTTCCAATATTTGTATTCCGATTGAGGCACCAAATAATCGCTCACTTGTATGAAGAGGAAGCCCGCACTTTTCTCAAAATCCGAATACTTGAATACTTGAATACTGAATATTTGAATAAACTGGAATTCTGAAGATTTATATTTGAGTCCTAGTGCTCAAGACTGAATATTTGAGTTCTGAATATCTAAGTGAGTGTGTGTGTTCGCTCTTTGGCTAAGCGAACAAGAGACCGGGACGGCTCAGCAATGAGCGCGGGGTTCGACTTGAAAGGAAGATACTGAACTCTTTTGTTTTTCGCGGGATCGTTCCTCCTTTTCCTTCCTTTTCTGCTTCGACGTTCGTCGAGGCGCTGGGAGGCCGATGCTCACAGGTTAGAGCGCGACCACCGCTCGAACACGCGATCCCAATTTTATTATAAAAAAAATACAAAATAATCTTTGACAAAGTGCTGAGAATGTGATCTGATGTAGCACGTCCTTGCGAAGCGCAAGGCGTTGAGGCCGCAATCGTATTTCGGACGATGAGGTTCGACCGGAGCGGTCGATCAGCTGATTCGAAAAACGGAGCGGAACAAACAAAACTAGCACTTGCGATCGGTGTCGTGCGAAGAGAAGATCTGATCGAAGCGAGGAACCGAAAACGTTCGTCCCTTCGATCTTACATTTATTTTTTAGTTTTTGTGTTGCTCGGAGATGAGATGGTAACCGCTATTGTCGAAAACGTTGCCATATTTGGCAGTCACATGCGGACAAAACGTGACAACAACTACGCGGAGTCCGGTAGCAAAACACGCACGGCGTGCTCACGCGCGAGTCACGCAGGATATCTCGTGGCATCGAGAATCCTCGATTTCGTCGACACAAAGAGCGGCGCTTTGGACGGATCGCAAACATCCCGCCCACCTTGAAACGTTTGTTTCGAAATCCATGGTCACGATTCGGTCTCGCAATTGATTGGCAGCAGGCATATTTTGACGATCGGCCGTTGAAGGGTGGAATGCGCGGTGCGGA